ATCATACGTATCTATAACCGCAGTTCAAAATATATGAACTTCATATATTCACCGTATCTAATATATTATCTGATTTTATTATATGGCTGTGTCTCACAAGGACTGGGAACTACCGAATTCATGAATTTGATTGGCTGAAATCAATATTGAAAGCGGTCTAGATTTTTCCATCTAGACCGGCATCTAGACCGGTCTAGAAAAAAAAGCTACAAAGAATATTAAAAAATTGGCATCTAAGACACAGCCATTTAATAAACATCTTATTAACCGAGCGAGGTCGTTCTGTATGGGGGAATCTTGACCTCGCTCGCAGGTACAGCCTCACTGCGTACGGTCTGTACTGGCGACCTCGGTCAAGATCCTCCCATACAGACCTCCCGCTCGGTTAATAAGAACTAAGTACTAGTAATTAGAGGTAGAATAAGAAAGTATGAATTCATGTATCTTATATTGTATTATCATCTCACCTTATTACCGTTTCAATTTTATTTTTTATTTTTTATTTGAGGATTTGTACCAAGTACTGGAGTAGAAACAATAGGACATGGGTTCCCTACGAGGTTTAAGCTCCAACAAACCCACTCATCCCATCCCAGGGGAGGACATCCATCACACGGTAATCTCGTGCGTGGGAAATTAAAGTCTCCTACCCCTAATTGTTACTTTCTAGTTTTATTTTTTCATTAAATTTCTAGGAATTTTTTATTTTACCAAAAGTTGCGTTATTTTGTTGCGTGACTTCCGATCAACTGAGGAGCATCTTGTTCGTGTCTTCAATGAATAATAATAATAATAATTTACATTTATATAGCACAGACCTCAAAATGAATATATTCAGTCGTTGCCGGTAATACTTACAAATTTTCTTAAAGATAAGTGATGAGATTCCTGTTTAGTTGATGTCCGAAACTTTGAATTGCACAAATTTTATTGAAGATACATATGTAAGTGACGAGATTTCTATTTAATTTATATCCGAAACTGTGAATTGTCCTCCTTGTTTTARTCCTTTCCGGTTTCCCAGTCGCGTTCATAATAGCGGGAGACAATTTATGACACTTAAATGAACTAGTAACATTAAAGGCATGTCCGCTGAATAGCAAAATGTCACATGATCGTCAGTCAAGCTTCAGAAGGCCTGGATGCTGCTCAAAACACTTTTGACCAAGGTGGCGGGAATTTTGTCGTTTTGTTTGTCAACTATTAATTTATTTCGTACTTAGAGAGTTTTTTTTTATCATAATTATTTCCTCTAAAATGGTACAACTTCATATTCGTGGTGTGGATGTTGACTTTCCTTTCCCACCATACGACTGTCAAGTTTCTTACATGGAAAAGGTTATTCAATGTTTACAGCAGGTATTACTCCAAATTTACTTCGATGTTTGTTGTCATTGAAAGTGTTTTAGGAACAAATGGTTTGAGTTTTTATGATGATTATTCGTAAAGTATATTTAAAATTTACTGCGATCTCTTGCCGTTTGATTGATAGTCGTTTAAGATAGTTATTGTTACAGTAAATGATAACTGGTCAAGTCGCCCGAGAGTCATCTAGCCCCAAGTCATCTAGCCCCAAGTCATCTAGCCCCAAGTCATGTCGCCCTGGGACCTGAGTCATATTGCTTTAAATTTTAGTCGTGTCAGTTGATTTGTGTGTAGTCAAAGTCTTCATGGTAATGTTGGAAACTAAGGTAAAGTTTGAGAAAAACTGAGAAAATGATTAATAGAAAAGTCGATCTATTAACCAAAGAAAAAGAGATGTTGCATTTTGCGAAAAAATATATGCAAACGGAGGGAAAATTTAGTTTAATAATAATAATAAATAGATGCTTATAGGGGGCATTTCTAATGTAGTTTAGTAAGCTATATGGTCGAGTTTTATTGTGCAATATGAACACTTTCCAAAATATTATTTTGTGTGGATGGATTTTTTTAGTCTAGTGACATGGATAGTTTTTATGATTAATGTGGGAGTCACTTTTTAGGGGAAAAATGGCATTCTTGAGAGTCCAACTGGAACAGGAAAAACTCTTTGTTTGCTGTGTGCAACACTGGCCTGGAGAGAAAGTTATGTGGCAGAACGTCAGCTAAAACAAAGGTTTACATCTGATCAAGGTGGTTCCAATTATGTGCAAGCCTTAGGTAAAGAACTGCAGTATGCTGCTCATGGAGACTCCTGGGGAGCAAACGATGATGATAAAGGTATTGAATGCTAGCTTAGATTAACAACCCTTAAAAGTGACTAGCATTTAATTTGTCGTTATGATATCATCCCAGAATGCAAGGGAGCAGAAGATGATGATAAAGGTATTGAATGCTAGCGTAGATTAACCACCCTTAAAAGTGACTAGCATCTAATTTGTCGTTATGATATCATCCCAGAATGCAAGGGAGGAAAAGATAATGATAAAGGTATTAAATGCTAGCTTAGATTAACCACTCTTAAAAGCGACTAGCATTTAATTTGTCGTTATGATATCATCCCAGAATATGCATGCTGATGTTAGGGTGAACAGGGGTAATACAATGGTCTTGAAACATTTCAGGTTTAATTTGCGTACTTAAAACCTAAGGTGTATGCATAGGTTTTGAGTTACAATGGAATCCTATTTAAACTGTTTGTTTAATTATGTCAAACTAGGGTTTATCAGAACAAAGGGAAAAAATGAAACTAATTAAAAGAGGTTTGCATTTATTTTGACCTGAATTCATTTTAAACTGAATCATAGTGTTGTAAAGTTAAGCATAGCTTGACAAAGCGTGACAAACAATTCTAAAGTAAGCTTTGATTACATAATTAAAACCGGAAATATGATTTATGTGTAACCCTTTGTTGTTAGAGTATTCGTGAAAATATTCCTACTACGTGTCGCATAAAATATGGAAACTTGTACGTGTTTTCCGTCTAAAAACACATAGGAATGCCAGGATTTACGAATTAAGTGTCCTCCCTTATCTGTCAAATTGCTGATGTGTGGTAATTAAGTTGTTTATTCCAAGGGAAACTCGTATTATCTTCTGTATTTTGTATCAAGTATGATTTAGCTACCATTATGTATATAAGAACCTTGATCCAAGCAATAAAGTAGATTCAGTTGATTGTAAAGCAGTTGAGTGTCCTCCACCCCATGTTCGAGCTCGCGTTAAACCCAACGTTTGCCTAAGCATCGAAATAGCTTGACGCTTAACCGACCCTCGGCCGAAATTATACTACAATATGCTGTAATCTCAGATCCTGAGGTAAAAAAGAGAGACTGTTTCTTGAGCAGGAGTTATATTGCCACATAAACAAATTAATTTTTTCTGCATATTTTACGTCAAGTTTCACAACTTTTTACAAAAAAAAAAAACAACATTATTTTAAACTGATTGATGTTATCCCCTCCAAATACAGGTTCTTATTTTGAGGCTCCAAGAATTTTGTATTCTTCAAGAACACATTCCCAGCTGTCACAAGCTGTGCAGGAACTTAAAAATACAATCTACAGGTATGACCTGAGTTCACTCTATTTTTATACAAGGGGATTCAAAGTTTTTTCTTGGTTAAAAAAACTTTTCAAAACAGTTAAAGTTGTACTTTTCTATTGGAGATATGAGGGATATTTTACCTTTCTTTGAGAGATTGGGAGAAAGTTTTGCTTGTGAAGGGAGGAATTTCATCAAACAAAAAAAGAACTGCCATAGCAACAGTTCAATTTGTTAGAGATTTAATTTTCTTGTTATCCTGTTCTTTTAGCAACCTTAACTTAACCATCAGTATACTTGTATCTTACTCTTTTGCAGACCTAAAGTTAGTATCATTGGCTCTCGTGAACAGCTTTGTGTTAATAATGATGTTCTGAAGCAGGAAACTAACTCAGCAAAGGTCAGAAAAGGGACTCCAGACTACAATTTAGATCAACAGGGAAATGAAATTAAGAGGAAAGAATAGAATTTTGATCTTCTGAGGTTTTCTTGCTGGTCCTTTTTAACACAGTATTTTCTTTTACACTTGGTTATTAACTTACTGTAACTTATAAGGTGATAATAATACAGACATTGAACCAGAATAACATGAACATAACATTTAGTCTGAAAAACAGTGTTTCTAGAATACAATATCTCATGATATCAATACTTGGATGCAATCCTTTAACACTTCATTTGTTATACAAGTCTTTGTAAGGGGTTTGTCTTAAGGAAGTTAGTTACAAAATGAAAAATAAAAGTAACTGTTCTCTGCTTCAAAAGTAAAAGAATGCAACCTCTAAAACTAGTTTTTATAATTCCATCGCGATTGAGGCAAAAGGTAACAGAAAAATATATAAATATCATAGCCGTAATGTTTCTTAATGGTGTGGCAAAATGGGAAATCATTGTGAATAATAACAGACATGACATGGTTCTACTGTGTGCATTAATTTTTTATTATGGGTACTTTGTTGTTGATAACAGGTACATATGTGCAGAGCTAAAGTTCAGGCTAGGACGTGTCATTTTTTCAACAACTTGGATGGTAACAACTGTTATCTTTTTTTTGCTATCAATTGAAAATAATTGGGAAACAGCTTTAGATTTCAAACTAGCAGCATGTCAGTACATTTTGAATACCAAGAAAAAGGAACTAGGTAATGAAACAAAATTATTGACCTGGTCTGTTGGGAGATCTCTGGTATATGTAATATCCAAATCTTTTGGAAAACATTGCCAAGCTAACCTAATGATCCATTTGTCTGTCCACTTATAAATTTTTGGGTGAGTGCCAGTTAAAAATGCCTGCAGAGTTTTGAATAGCATTCAATTCTTTTCATATTATACCACTTATTTCTCAATCAGCTAACAAAGCTAATAAAGATTTTACCCAAAGTATCCTGGACATTGAAGATTTGGTGGAACTTGGACAAAGACACAGGTGAAAAATATAAATTTTCATAGAAAACAAGTCCACTTAGTTCTGATCTTGGCATATCTCATGCAGGTTTAGAGGGTGAAGGTCAAAGGGATCCTTTATTCCAATTAAAGAATGTAACTGCTAGCAAAGCATTTGTGGACAATAATTATTTATGAGTTGGAAAGGACTGTAGATCTACACAACAACAACAACAACAACAACAACAACAAATTGTAACACATGTACAAACCTTAACTCCTTACCTCTAACAACACAGTAATACTTTTGTAATGGCTAAAATTGCTAAATAAACATTCAAAAAATTTGGAAAACATTTATTAGTGATGGTCAGTGATGGTAGAATTTTTTCACTTGCCTCAACTACATGTTTAATTAATTGTTTTTTACTTAAGGGTGTGCCCCTACTACATGGCCCGGGAATTGAAGACCACTGCTGATATTATATTTATGCCTTACAACTATCTCCTGGATCTCAAAGTATGTTAAAAACCTTTTTTGTTTTGGCTGATTAGCTTTACGGTAGAGGAGACTATCTTAAAATGTCACCTGATATGTTTTCAATTGGTTTTCTTTCCAGTCTAGAAAAGCAAATAATGTGGATATTTCCAGCAGCATAATACTCTTTGACGAGGCACATAATCTGGTAAGAAACTCAGTTTATTTTTCTTTCACATTTCAATGGGATACCCCAGCTCTGGGAAAGTGAACTACCTGGTTGGTTATCAGTGTGATGCTAATGACGATAATGTACAACCATAGAGAACTTTGAAATTGTAACAAAAAATTACTGAAAAAAGATACCTCAAGCTTCAAGAAAGTCTAACATTGGTAATCAATTTAGGCATAGTTTTCAGTTGTAGGAGATTTTGATTCATGTCACTATGTATAATTAATTAAGCTTCTTTCACATTGATCATTTTAGGAAAAGACTTGTGAGGAAACTGCATCCTTTGACCTGACATCTTTTGACATAGCATCGTGTATAGAGGATGTGGCACAATGTATTGAAATTATTGAATGCCGTGAACAAAATGTACTGGATGCTACTGAAACAGCAGGTTATTTTCTGTATTTTATTCAAATAACTCCATGGTAACTGAAGTTTATTAATGATTTCATTATTTGATATGTATGGCCTTGCATGATTTTGACAAAGAAAAACATCACTAAAAGAAAGCTAGATAACACCCTTAGCCCATGTCTTGCTAGATGTAAAATGCAAGAAAAAAGGAAGAAAGAGAGGAAGTAGACTTCACAGTAGATAGGAAAGGCCAGGCCCAGATGCATAAAATGTTGGCTCAAGTGCATATATCGAGACTTGAGCCAAATATTTTCCTTTCTGTCGTCCTGCTTAGTCAATAAGTACTCCATTTTACACATTGTTTGATTTTATGATGTCTTATCAACTTTTGATCTTGTTTACTATGTTGATTTCAGCTGATGTAGATATTAGCAAAGAAGACCTTGCCCATCTTAAGTGTGAGTGGTTTTTTTTCAACATTTTTGGAGGATAATTAGATAAATATCTGTGCACAAAGTGTTCTTGTGAATAAACAATAAACCATTATTCCTAAATAAACTTTTACTTTTACTTTTTGAATTTGTTTTTATAATACTTGGCTTTCTTATTATTGCACACCAGCGATTGTTAGGGATGGGATATAGTTGAAATAACAAATTATTTTGATTACAAATGCCAATTTGCAGCTTTGTTTATTGAACTTGAGAAGTTGATTGACATCCAAGAGTTGCCAAAGAATGGTGATGGTTTAACTAAACCTGGCAGGTGTGTATATTTGTTGAATGTTTTCTTCCCTTTTTAATATTTGGGGATCTTTTTGAAAGAAAAGGATAATTGATGTAGTATGATGCTGTTATTGTCAAAAGATCCAAGTCCAAGAAGCAAATTTCAATGTAATAAGGTTCTAAAGAGCATGAGTGTCACACATCACACGTAATGTCCCAACATGACATCTCCTCTTCTTAAAACAGTTAGAACATAAACAAGGTTCTAATAAATAAACAAGGTTCTAACAGTCCAAAAGGTTCTGAGTGTGTACGACTACAAAATCAGCCAAAGGTTCTTTTAGCTTAAACTTGTGGTCAGCTTGGCAGTATAACCATACAGTTTCAATTAGATGCTGTGGTGGTCTACAGATCCGTAGACTTCTTCTGACAGGTTGATACTCTTGTGGGATATCTGGCTGTGATTCCATCTCTGGCATTTTGATACCAGCATCAGTGCTTGGTTGCATACAAGAATTTGACTCATCACTACCTCGTGCTACCCATGCTGGGCTAGGTGCTGGGCTTGGGAATGGACATGCCTCCTTGGTTGGTTGAAGATGGAAGCGGTTTTGATACATCTATGTTCCATCAGGAGTAGCTACAATGTATGAACAAGAAGTCTGGTGTTGTCAGATGACCACCACAGGTGTCCATTCCCATCCCTGCTTCATTTGCACAGGTTCGCTTTCATGTAGTTTGGAAAGTGGCCAAGTGCCACAGTCAAAGAGCACTTTCTGATGTTGTTGACACGTCAGCAGATTATGACAAATCTGAGAAGTAGACCTAGGCTGTGGTTCAAGGAGGCTCTTGGAAGTTGGCAGTCTTGTTCTAAGCTTCTACTCATAAGAAGTTCTGCTGGGGATTTATCCATTCCACAATACCATTAAACTTCGGTTAGTGTGGACTTGAGGTTACCACTTCTATCTCCCACTTACTGGTGAATTCCTTAAATTTCACACTATTGAAAGTCATGTTGTCTATGATTAGCCTCTAAGGGATTCCATGATGTGCAAACATATCTTTCATTGTTAAGATAACTGCTTCACTATTCTAACAGGAGAGGCAGGCTACTTCAAGATATTTGGAGAAATAGTCAACTACAAGCAGGTAATCTCTCCCTTTATAGTAGAAAATGTCTGCTACAACTGTTGCCCAGGCTCTCTCAGGGACCTCTTGAGGAGTCAAAGGCTCTCTCTGGTTGCTGACAGGTACTGCACTTGACTGCCAACTCATTGATTGCACCATACCTGGCCAACATACCTGGCCAAAACACGGCACTTCTGTCTCATTCTCTGCACTTCTCTATCCCCAAGTGAGTGGGGTGTATGACTTGAAGTATATGGGTTGCAGGCTATGGGGAACAATTATGCAATCACCCTCGAACATTAACCCTTCATTGCAGCTTATTTCATCTCGGTAGTTCCAGTAAGGTCTTGTCTCAACTGGTGTCTCTAATTTGGTCTGCGGCCAACCACTCGTGACAACTTTCTGCAACTGTTGAAGTTCAGGGTCACTCTTAGTTTTATCCCTCAGCTTGGGAAACATCATCTTCGACAAATGTCCAGAGTCCAGGACATGAATTTCAAACTCATCAGGTTGGTCTGTAGCGTTGCGGAGTAAGTATGCTCTGGAGGGCATATCAGCTAAAGGTAGTTTGCTGCCAGGTACGTACTTAACATTAACTGCGTAAGGCTTAATCCTGAGAATCATCTTTTGAAGACGAAGGGGTGCTTGATGAATGCGCTTCAGGATTGCTTCCAAAAGTTTGTGGTCACTTTCAACTGTAATTTCCTGTTGCCCATACAAATAATCATGAAACCATTTACACCCAAAGACAGTTGCCAACATTTCTTTCTCCATCTGCACATAATTTTCTTGGCTGGGAGTCAGGGCTTTTGGTGCGTAAGTAACTTGGTGGTCATTCTGCAAAAGGACTGCACCAACCCCTTTTGAGCTTGCATCAACAGACAGGGTCACTGGTTCTTTCAGGTCAAAGAACTTGAGGACTGGAGCTGATAAGATTGAAGTTTTCAGGCTTGTAAATGCATCATCTTCTTCTTGTTCCCAGGACCATTCAACATCTTTCTGGAGCAGCTGGCAGAGTGGGGCACTCTTCTGAGACCTGTTTGCAATGAACTTAGATAAATAGGTTACCACACCCAGGAACTCCTTAAGTCTTCATGATCGACTGGGGTTGGCATAGCAATGATATCTTCAACTTTCTTTGGGTCTGGTTTAACACCATCTATACTCAACCTCTTCCACCGTCTGCATGGAAAAATGTTCACACATGATGGCACAATTGAGGTCACTAGGATCCATGCACACTCTGAGTTTGTTATTCTTCTTCTTGGCAACAACAAGACTATGTACCCAAGCAGTGGGCTCTCTACATTTCCTAATGACTTCCAGCTTTTCCATTCTCTGAAGCTCCTCTCAGGGGTGGCATTGGGGTCAATTTGAATCTTGTGCTGGACACCTTTAATCTCACCCAAGCCCTCAAACACGTCTGCATACTTGGATTCCAGGTTCTCTTCTTCAACGACAGTTAGCATGCATCTGAGCTCAAACTATGTAGTTGTTAGCTCTACTTGGATGAGTCCGATAAGAAGCTTATTTGTTTGTTTGTTTTTTTGTTTAAATTCCAGCTTTATGTTTGAACTTCTTGGCAAGCTTAATATGAATTTCTCCACCAAGGACCAAGTTTTAGAAGTTCTTGATAAATGCAATACACTGCTAGTTGGAGGTAAAGCCTGTTTTGAACACATTCTGTGGCTTTTCATATGAAACCTCATTAAGCATTTAACAACTGATCCTTGTCAATATCTCAGCAACTAAGCACCTGCCCCTCCCTAGGCTCAACATTTTGAGGGCCACTGGTTTATCAGCATATTTACTGCCTTGTGCAACACTTGCTAAATAAAGTTTTTATTGAACTTCAGCATGCCAGGAAAAAAAGTTTCATAGGACACACAGCGTAACCTATAAAACTACACTTATCATTATTATTATTATTATTATTATTATTATTATTATTATTAACCCTAGCTCGTTTTCAATTAACTGTTGTTGGGTTAGGGGAGGGGTGGGTGTGCAGTTGCTCAGATGCTGACATTGATTCTAACAATCTTGTTACAATGAAAAACTGTTGAAAATTTGAATTAGCTATTATCTTGAGTTTTGTAAAATTATGAATTGAAAGTAGTTTTTTCTGATATATAGCTTTTATTTCAATCCAGACACACAAAAGTTTAGAGGAAAACATTTTGCTCTGCAAAAATTTTCAGATGCTTTGCAGGTAACTGTATAATTGTGTTATTACAATAATTCAGGGCTTGGTTTGGAAGATAATGTGAGAAGCATCACTTTGACCTCATAAATAAAAGAAGCAACTTATTCAAATCATAGGTCAGGTAAACTTTCTATAGTATAAGTATACTTTTGAGATGGGTAAAGCTTTGACTTGGGGTATATATGTTATTATTAATAGTTTTAACTTTTATTCCTGAAGTTGTTTTTTAAATCCCAAAACCCTAACAACCTTTCAGAGAAGGATTGTATTTCAAAGATTACTAATTTTGATGCAAGATAGTCAATTATTTGCTATTCATTTTTTTCAGATCATTTTCAGTAAAGATGCATTAAACCAGTCTTCTAGTATAAATGAAGCTAAGTTTTTTAAGGTATTGTTCGCTGCCTAACACAGCTATTTTTATATTATTGAATGTATTAGTAACAGTGCTAATTAGCTACAAAAGAAAAATTTCAGTTATTGTCATCATGGTGATTTTTGTTACTTTTTTGTCACAAACCAGGTTCACATCCAACTTGAACCAGACAGTAACAAGAAAAAGAAGAATCTGGATGTGTGGACAACAGGATCAAAGTTTTCTAAACAAGGTTTGACTCCCAGCTGCACAATTGTTGTACTGCAGAGATTGTTTGTAATGCCTCTTCAAGTTTGGGAAATCTTTTTCCCAGAGTTTAACTCACTGCATCCCATGATTGTGGAGATTTTGCTTCACTGCACTCTTGATTTGTTTAGAGAACTTGTGTTCCTGGACCAGTCAAGCGCAGGTTTTTGTAGGCATGAGCCATTTGTTTTGATTTGTCAGTGTGAAGACGTTGGATTAAAATATGCAGTTTACAATATGCAGTTTAAGGGTACTCTATGTACTGTTCGGTTACTCACACATATTCATAAATTTAAAATCACTTGAATCTGTTGTGAATGTGGAGCCACTTAATGTCTGTGACTGGCTAAGAGCTAATAAACTCTCCTTAAATATAAAGGAAACTAATTTAAAATGCATGATGTCAATAACAAAGGCATGCTATCTAACATTTCTGCTCTCTTTAGACCCATTAAAGATGCTCATCATTATAACACATGATCTTCTACCTCTGGTAACTTCTATATAAACTACTCTCGACTAAATCTCTACTGACAAGAACTCTTTTTCCTCTATGGGCACAAAAATTTGGAACTGTATTCCGGATGTTTTGAGACAGCTCCCAAAATATAGTTTCAAGAAAAAATAACAGAATCCTTCTTTCAAATCCTTCTAAACCAGGATTCTTATCCTGATATTGATATGTTAATAAACGAAATGACAAGAAACTAGATTTCGTTAAAATAAAGAGTATTTTAATTATATGCTTATGGCTTTGTAATTAGTATATCTATATTTTGTATACACTTTTGTAATTGACATCTGTACCTTTGTAATTAATTTTTTTTTTCATTGGAATAATTTTATATTAATATGCAATTGACACGTTTCTCATACTACCTGCCTCAATTAGCAGGTAGTATGATGTTGTTCTATTTAGCACGGTTCTTGTCCAATTTTGTCTGAATTTCTTACTGCCATGGTCTAACTCCTTTGAGAAAAACTGACTAAATTGTTTATTTTCACTGTAAATATCAACAGGTAGGACATTAAGCTACTGGTGTTTCAGTCCAGGACACGCTATGATAGATCTGATGTCTTATGGAGTGCGGACAGTAGTGTTGACCAGTGGAACCCTTTCACCGCTCGAGTCTTTCAGAGCTGAAATGCAAATGTAAAGAGGGCTTTCTTTTCATAGATTAAAACAAAAGCCTAACTCTTTGTAGCATGTTTCTTCTTTTTCCCAATGACTGTCATCTTTTTGTCGTGTTATTAAGCAGATCATTCCCAATTCAACTGGAAAACCCCCATGTTATTGAAAGGCATCAAATGATGGTTGGTGTGGTTACAAAAGCACCTGATGGAGCCACTTTAAATTCCTCATATGAGACAAGGTTTGTATACATCTGATGTATGTGTATTTGATGAAGTTAAGAGTTGGTTGACTGTTGTTGGATAAAACACTCACTACCCTCGAACAAGAATTTGATCTTCTATTGCAGGTTATATTACTGTGTGTTTTGGAGTCACTCAAAATTGTTTTAGGAATATTTCATCCCCCTACATATACAAATGCTTTATTGTAAAGAAATAAAGCTCAATTTTAGGGTTTTACATAAGGACACACCACATAGACCCAGGCCAGACTTGAATCAACCTCTTACTGAGTAAATTTTCCAAATGTTTGAATTTGCTTGTCATATCTCTTGAAGGTTTACTACTGAGTATATGACAGGTCTGGGCAATGCAATAGGTAGGTCTGTAAAGACTTCACAAGAGACTGTAGTCACCAGATAGAATAGATCACAGTGATTGTATTAAGAATATTAACTTATATTTTGCTAATATCAATGCACATTTTCATCAGCACAGAAACTAAAATGTTACAAAAATCTAACTGAAAAAAAAAAAACAAATAGAAAAAGAAAAAATCTAATAATGAAATAATATATGTGCTAAACATATGTCAATAAAATATCTAACAATGTATAATAGTGTAGTTTTTAAAGTACCAAAATATATCTAATCTAATCTAATGTAATTCGATATTTAACAACTAAAAGCTTCTTTAAATAGATACATCTTTAAATATTTTTTAAAGAAATTCGACGATTTTGAATTTCTAATATAATATGGAACAACATTCCAAAGTTTTGGTGTGACTGTTTGAAAAGATCGGTCACCGACTGTGGAGTACATCTTCCGTTTTGGTAATTCCAGTAATAGATCATCATTACAAGATCGTAATCTGTACCTTCCGGAGGTCTTTAACTTAATTAATTCTAGTATATAATTAGGCGCAAGCCCATGAACGGCCTTACACGTGATC